TTTTGTTCTATATTTTTTATGTCTTCTGTAAAGTTAATGCACTTCGCTCAGCTACCCCGTGCACAATGTTAACGCACGGGGCCCTACGTAATTTCTATTTGCGAACAGTAGTAAGCTATGCAGAGGATGACAATGTCTGAGAACTACGAAACAACCACGGACCGCATCCCCACAACCCTTCTACTCACACTAACTGGATTTATTTCTTTTCGCACGTTAAGCAATCGTATTGTTTTCACACATTTCTGCGTTTGTTTCAACTGACTTTTCTTTATGCATTTCTTTGTACGTCATCATGCATTTTTTGCGCACAAATTGTTGCAGTTCGAAATGTAGGGTTAAGTTTAGCGTTTAGCACGAATATTTGCATAAAAAACATATAAATGCGTTAAGCGTGCTTATTTTTGCATTTTCAATTTAAATCGTCGTGATCGTTATAATGACACCGATGACACCCACCTCTTTCCTGGCCAGCACTATTTGCCGCTTGCCGCCCCTCACGAACTCCACGCCGTAGGCCCTCATGGTGGCGGGGTTGATGAGCACTCTCGTGGTGTGCGCCCTCATGGCGATGTGCAGGTTGCGGCGCAGCCGCGTTGGCCGCAGGAACGCCTTGGCCGTGCTGCAGCGCGAGCCTCGCCTGATAGTGCCTGGAATTAGAGTATTGCATGACACTCCTCTTCAATTTCTAGTTTTAAAGATAGATTTGATTTTTTTTTCTCAAATAAAATACTTTCTGAATAGTTTAAGTAGCACCTTTGGCGTTGATGGAAAGTGTGTGTACGTACCGGGTCCGTCCGTAGCGTCTCTACTTAGGTTCGCTCACGCTATGTTCGGCTCACCTTGCGCGATCATGAAGCCGTCCTGGTGCTCGCCGTTGATGTCCATGTTCTCGTAGCCCAGCTCCTTACCGGCCTGCACGAAGGCGAGCACGAGCGGCGTCTTCCACGGCGCCTCCTGCACCGTCAGGTAGCCGCCGCGCGAGTGGTAGGGCGTGCGCGCCAGGTACGGGTTGCGGTTGTCCTCGCTCTTCTTGAAGTAGCGTAGCACGCTGTCGAAGCCCCAGCCCGGGTTGCCGAACGCCTCCCAGCTGTCGTAGTCCTTGCGGTTGCCTCTAACGTAGAGCATGTAGTTGAGCACGGAGGAGCCGCCGAGCACCTTGCCTCGCGGCCAGTTGCAGCGCCCTCCCTGCAACAGGCATCGGAGCACTCAATTTAAACTACCGCGCGTTTCTAGTGTAATCTGAGAAATTTTCTAATACAAGAGAATTCATTGAACAATCTTGGTAATACTGTAAATTTGCAGAAAATGTATCGCAAATATACAAATCATAAAAGTTCGCAAATGGGGACTGTAAAAGTGGGTAAAATACAACTTTGTTATTTAACGGTATTTGCTATTCCTCTACACAAAAATTTGCGGTTGCCATGTTTTGTGATTCTGTTGGCAAATGTCATAATAACCTTTCATCGCAAACTGAACTGCACTTTTTATAAGCAAATCATTGCCAAAGTAAAGCGATAACATTTTCCTGTATATTGTATTGTAATTCTGGAACATTTTATCACAAATTTTTGTGATAAATTTATCGCGTTATTTTTAAAATGATTTTGTGCCTACATTTTTCACTGCAACTTAGTTTGTAACAAAAAGTTATAGTGCCCTTTGGTATGGGAATCGCACAAAAAATCAGCAATAGTGTCGCATATTGGATTTCATCGTGGCGTCCTATTGTGGAGCGTTTCTCATTGTGACCATATAAATCAATATAAAGTATGACAATACTTTTCACATTTTCTTGAAACTATCACCTTCATGGCTAGGCAGGCCTTGCCGGTGGGTTCAGTCTTGTATTGCCAGTCCAGGTCAGTAAGTTGCAGGTAGGCGGCGAGCGACGGCACATCCGAGATCTCGTTCTCATCTGGACCCGCCTCAAGCAGAAGCGTGTCCCAATGCGGCACCTTTATGGACATACAAAGGAATCAAATAAGACTTAGACTTTAAACGCAGGACACTTTCTCCCATGAGCAACTTAAAAACCGTGTAAAATCAAGGAAGCTCACTTTTATACACATACAGTGTATCGTCACAAAGCTCCTGAAGACACCAATAAAGTCAAAATATCTTACCTCGGATAAGCGGTTGGCGACGACGGCGCCAGCCGAGCCGGCACCCACCACCACAAAGTCATACTCTTTGTAGAGGACGCGCTGGTCGAAAGGCTTGCTCTCGGGATCGACCAGGTCGTAGCGGTAGTAGGCGAGCGAGGCGAGGAGCAGCGGCACCACCCACAGGCTCGTCTTGAAGGCGGCCGTAGCCGCGATGAGCCCCAAGATCATGGCCGCCTGAACGGGGCTCCCCTACCCCTAGGCGAGCCCCCTCTGGGGACCCCTGTGGGCCCCCTGGGCCCTCCGTCCGGCTGGGCTGCTCCCGCGGCTGGACCCGCATGTCGCCTCCGCCCCACGCCGCGGCCGCGCCGCTCACCGCATCACACCTGCGGGCAGAACATGACAAAGTGAAGGCGTAACGTCGTAGCAAGCCCTTGTTTAACCTAGGGGACGAATCTTTGTGTTTATTAAAGGTTGCAAATGGCCGAACTGGTGTTTTTAAGGCTAAACACTTAAATGTTTGACTGCATATTTGAATATAGAACAGTGTTCAAAAGTAATGTTAAACTCCTTCAAATATTCAATTTTTAGGTGTTTGAATAGCGTTTTGAACAACGTAATACACTAAGCTCTTACTAAACTTCCACATTTATTTTCGTAACAACGTAATACACTAAGCTCTTACTAAACTTCCACATTTATTTTCGTGTCTCTTTATCTTAACATAGGCTAGGCTAGCCCCTAAAAAAATTAAACCTCTCTCCTGGTCTGCGGTTCTACGCGTCGGCTCTCGGCCAATGGTCAGTCAATTCAAAGGTCGCTCCTAATTTTTGACGTTTTGTTGGTTGACTCTGAGAGGGCGCGGGACGTTGCCGTTTCCTGAAAGGTTGCGCAGCCTAGACTGTTAGCTTGTGCAGGACTGCCAACGGAAACCGCATTGGTGGTCGGAGTGGTGCCAACCCAAGCTGCCTCGGCAGAGATTTGGTTCCGGACCACGGGACGATTAAACACCCTGCTCGGCAAGAAAAAGTACGTATATAGTGCGGGGCTTCCCACGACCTCCCTGGAAAGAGAGATTACACGACTGATGAGTGACGGCCACAGCATACTGCTGTAGAGTTCTGTAGAGTTAGCAAATTAAAGTTGACCATAACGAATATTTTGACCATCATTGCTAACAATAAGGCTGTTCCAATTCTGTTTTTCCTCCTGTACTGCCCTTATCAGGCTTAACTGGTCTGTGCTGTCTGTTACCGATTCCTTTGGAGAGACGCGTGAGCTTATCAGGAACTAGCCAGGCAGACGTAGTGACGTGAGATCTGCTGTCTGTCAGCCTCACCAGAGATGCACGGAGCAACGGCTTGGGGCGGACTGTCGTCGTCGTTACGACCATGTGAAAATACAATACTGCCTGACAGCCCCTCTGTTGAACAGTGCTCTTAGAAAATCCAAAATGTTCACTCAGGTAGGGATGTCAAAAGTTAAGTAAGGAAAAGCTGTCCACTCATTGTGTCAGGACTCGGTTGATGTGGCGCATAGGCGCGGGCACGCGATATTTCGCGCCCTCCTGTTCCGTTTAAGTCGCGGGGCGTGCAATGCGACCTATAACAGATATCGCATTTCTCAACGTGTCGCCTACGTTACGCTTCCCACCGTAATTTCAAAACATTGTGTCTGAAAGGAGACCTTTGTATGCATTTTCATTCTGAAGTTGAGATGGTTTACTTAAAAAAGAAATTGTAAACCCGTTTTTCTCTTGCGTATATTGTTTTGATTAATTAGTCAAATGTACACATGCTCGCCACTTTGCAATTTCGCAGCAGCGTTATATGTTGATTCTTGAAGGCTTGTGACTTCTGCGTGGTCGCGCGGGTCCGCACCGCCACAGCTTACCCTGCAGCGCTACGGACGGTTTAGCTGACCGCATAGGCGGCGGCAGCAGTAACAGTTCAAAAATAAATCGAAATGTAACGAGCGGCGGTGGCGGTTGCTTGAAAAATGGCGGGAAAGTGCAAATCACTGGCTTGCCGCTCATCGTTTAAGCGGTGCAATGATGCGCGGTGCATGCCCCTCCCCATCCCTTTCCTTCCACTTGTCACCGCCTCTTCACCCCCTCCCCCTTTCTTTCGTTCTCCTCTCTACCCATGTTTTGCTAAAATGTTAACTGTACCCTGCATATGGCTATCGATCTGGGACGTCTTGTCTTGTCTGCACGCCGCGTGCCACAGCAGCCGTAAGCCGCTGCATCCACTACTGTCGTTCTTGTTTGTGTGCGGGAATCGGCGGTTGCTTCCCTGATGGACAGTTGAAATCTGCCCCGCTGTGCTGTGTCTCAGCGAAATTTTCGTCCTACATTTTCATTATTTTTTTTTCCTGTGGGGCCGCATAGAACGTTCCGTCAAATGGCCTAATGCTGCTCTTCGAAACGCAGTGCAGACAGTTTGTGCATAAATAAACAATGTATACGTATATGGGTAATGCATAAAATTGAACATATTTCTGTATTAATATACACCCTCCCACACCTGCACTGATTTATTTCCTACTTTTTTTTCCAGCGGGAAATGTCAGTACACTCAATGTCAAGGCACAATATTTTTCCATCGCAAGATGCATCTGTGAGAGCTCCTTGCAAGTTGCAAAAATAGAACGCAAACCATTGAAGCCTAGCAGTGGAATTCAAATAGGAGCAGCTCAACTGCTTTGTGTCCGTAATGCAGAGAAGCTGAGCGGGTGGGGTGGGGTGGTTCAGAGGGAGGGAGAGAGGGAGAGAGAAAAAGAGAGAGGGAGAGAGAGAAAGAGAAGGAGAGAGAGGGAGAGGGAGAGAGAGAGAGAGAAAGAGAGAGAGGGAGAGGGAGAAAAAGAGATAGAGAAAGGGAGAGAGAGGGAGAGAGAGAGAGAGAGAGAGAGAGAGAGAGAGAGAGAGAAAGAGAGAGATGGAGAGAGAAAGAGAGAGAGAGAGAGAGAAAGGGGAAGGGGATTGGGAGGGGGCACAGCAGTCGCACCGGCTAATTGCGCGCGTATCGTGTCTTACGGCGTGGAAGTGGTTCAGCAGGACGGCGCACGGCATGGCGGGGCAAGGCACGCGCCGGAACACAATGTTGTGGCTGTTTGTGTGGGCAGGGTAATTTACAATTAATGCAATGTGTGGGCAACCCCTCACCATACATGTTCACAAGGTAAAATATCGGAACAGAGTTTATGTAGTTCCGTATAGGTTTTAGAACATTCGAAACAAACTTTAGGTTTCTGACTGCACCCAGAAAACCGTATATTTCTTGGAATGAAGTTGTCACCAATAAGATTGGGTTCGCATCTAAGACCAATTTTCTTCTGCTTACCAAATTTTGTTTACTTTGACGGAAAATGTCCGTTCTTCCATATATTTTTTTTCGTCACCTGAACAGGCACGAAATTTTCGATACAGCAATAAAATTTATTACCCCGAAAGAAACTGTTTTCTCAACTCGAGCTGAAATACTTAATTCCTCATTTGTTGTTTCCCTCGGCGAGATCAAACAAGTTCCACACTATCTTCCCCGACTTCTAATCTTTTTCGATCTTGGGCTCTTTTCTTTCTTGCTTGGTCATGTACAAATTAGTTTGTTTTTGAGACGGGGTATGACGTGCTTGAGCGTAGCAGTCACTCTTTGCCCCCCCCCCCCCTCTGCTCTTTCCGCAGGTGTCCGGGTGACTGCACCGCCCATCCGGCGCGAGACGCATCTGTATTGTGATGTCACAAGGCGGCCGTGGACCTTTGAAGTGAAGAGGTGGAAAAGGGGGTGGGGGGAGGAAGGGATTTTCCCAGCTTCCTCCCTGAAGGTCGACGTCATGCAAAGGCGATCCCCTTTTCCTTTCCTCATTCCCCTTCTTCCTTTTCCCCATTGCGGCATTCGGCCAGGTGCCACCCATATACACTGACCCGGTTTGCGAAAGGAGAAGAGATGGAGGAGGAGAAAAAGTTTCACTTTCTTTTGGGATAATGTCGGTCAAGGGCGGAAGCATTGTGGGCGGGG